CCACTATGGAGACTCATTAATGAGTAACATCAAGTCGGGCCCCCCCAGCACCACCCTGGGCTAAGCACAGGGCAGTTGCACAAGTCCTGTCTGCTTGTTGACAAGAAGCAGCATTCTCCAGCTGCCTTTGATGCTCAAGCCAATATTTCTGACATTGTTTCTTGACTCAAGACTACAGATGCCCCAACACGATTTCCTTCCTAGAGTGGGAAGAAGACTGGGATGGCAGATGGCCAGTGGGGACGCCAGGATTCCCCAAATGCCTGATGCTGTCCTGTGGCTGCAAAGAATGCAGACTGGCCAGAACAGACTTTCAAAAACGATTTCTACAAATGCACTAACGAGCCTCTTGGCAACTTTTGGAGGACAAGGTCTTTCATTTACACATTTGACAGACCAATAAAACACGAATATAGAATGTGGAAGTCCCCGGAAGCTTAACCTACCCTGTGTCCTTGTACTACCTACACTTCTAAATGGCCTGAGTTCAACATCTAGCCACCGTGACGCTGAGCAAGAGGCTCAGGAGAGCTATATTTCTGTGCACTTTTCCAATGTGGAAGGCCAACTGACCTGCACAGCAAAGGCCCTACACTGGCAGAAAGAGGGGCTCTGCTCCCCCGGCCTACGCAATTTAAGAGATGATCCCAGTGCGGAAGACGGTAAGGAAGGCCTTTCCATCAAGTCACTGGTGACTTTAACACTCAGTTTCCTTTTGCAAACACTGTTCTCTCTCCTTCTTCCTCCTGCTCCCCGCTCCCCAAATCCTGTCTCCCCTGTGGTTGTTACAGTGCAGCTCCCTAGGGCTTCACCTGCGATGGCCTCAGAGAAGCTGCAAGAGGGTGTTATTTGCTTCAAAGCAGCTTTGCAACCCCACGCACAGCAGAGGGAGACAGAGACTCAGAGGAAGGGGAGGCAGGAGAAACATGTCAGAAGGGGAAGCAGCAGCAGCAAAAAGAATGAGGTGAGACCCCACCTGGAAAGGGTTCCTTCGCTTTAACCAGCTGCGGCTCAGCATCTTCTGTGTGGACGGCAAGCTGCCAGAGGGCAGAGAGCGCGGCTGCTGCCTCCCTGAACCGTCCCCACAGCCAGGTCCTTGTTCTTAGCCCTGGTTTTTAACTTTTCACGCAGGAGAAGCCAAAGCACATGTGATTACCGGTAGATCAAGTGAAACAAATACGTGTCTATTGTGACCCACAAATAGTCATTCCTGAGGGGCCTGATTGCTGGTTAAAAACATACATTCCCGTATGCTGGTGAATCCGAAGCTGCCAAAGAGGGGCCTGTGAGTGTGTGCTCACCCCGGCGACACCGCTAACGCCTATCCGCAAGTTTGGGAAATGCTGCGACAACCCTCCTCTAGAGTCTGAACAATCAGGGTCAAGTTCCAGTTTGGGAACTTCTTGGCTTTCTAACTGGAGCCTCAGTTTTCTCATCTGCAAAATGAGAGTAATAATGCCTACTTGGGAACCTTATTAGGAGAATTTTAAAAAGCAACTGTAAGAGAATAACAACGGTCCAGATGCCTGGTCGATTTTCCCTAAACATTTGTTGCCTTCATCCGGGAGACACTGGGGAACTACTGAAAGCGTCCGGCCAGATCACGTCCAGACTGCTGCTTTACCTTCACCCCCATCTGCGACACCTAGGCAGATGGTTGCCTAGCCTCTTCTGTCACACCTCCTGTGACAAAAGATAAAATGTACTATCTCCGGAAGCAGGCCATTCCACTTTCAAACAGCTTTAATCATGGGCAATTTCTTCTTCTTGTTGAGCTCAGATCTGCCTTCGGTGACAGAACAAATCTAATCCCTTGTCCACAAGATCGGGTGATGCAATTAACTTAGATAAGGGAAGTGAGGAGGAGTAGGTGTGGGGGCTCCATTTTGAACACACTGTACTGGGAGGACAGCTTCACACCCATGGCCACCAAGTAGTTGTTCTGTGGGTCTGGAGTCCAGTAAAGAGATCAGGGGAGTCGTTTATGCAACGATAGAACTCGAAGTGGTGAAAATAACTGACATTGCCATTTAGGGGGCAGAGCTCATGTACTGAGGAATGGTCAGCAAGGGAGGAAGAGAGCCTTTAAAGAAAAAAGCAGGCTCTGGCTGGTGTGGCTCTGTGGGCTGAGTGCTGGCCTACAAACGAAAGGGTTGCCGGTTCAATCCCCAGTCAGGGCACATGCCTGGGCTGGGGGCCAGGTCCCCAGGAGGGGACGCTTGAGAGGCACACACTGATGTTTCTCTCCCTCTCTTTCTCCCTCCCTTCCCCTCTCTAAAAATAAATAAATAAAATCATTAAAGAAAAAAGCAGGTACTCCCTGGAAACCAATGTGGTGAAGAAGTCAGACTAACAGGAGAGAGTCAGTGAAGCAGACCTTGAATGGGACAACTAAGAGGTCACTGCTGTTCCCTGGCAGCCCTGGGCCTTTGCTCCTCCGGAGCTGCTTGAAGCCACCCCGCCAAGCTGAAGGGCAGACGCTAAGAGAGAGCTGGTTGGAAGAAATAGCAGCGGCAAGTACAGATGACTCCGACATTTCCCAACCTGCGTGTTAAGGCGGGATTCTCCAAATAAGGCTCCTACGCTCCTTCCTATCTTTTGGGGAAACACTGCCTAGTAAGTCCGTCCTGGATATCAATCACAGGGAAGAGCCCTGTTTTCCTCTTTAATTCTGCCATTGCCCAACTTCCTAAACCACTGATTTTTCGCTGAATACTATTAACCTCTCAAGGAACTAGTGTTTCTTACCACAGGATTGGGCAAATGTGGGGAGCAGAAGAGGCGAGCCGACAGCTGAAGGGGCTATTGGTATCAAGGGAATTTTTTTCTTTTCGTTTTAAGAATGGAAGAAAGTTGAAGATGTTTACACATGGAAGAAAGGGAACCTAGTGTAGAGCGAAAGGCCCAAAACTGGCACAAGAGGAGGAAATAGAGCCCGCCAGGCCCTGGTAGAGGAGCTTGCTTAAGCGAAGGACCTCGGATCACTGCTTCAGCCAGGAAACGTTAGTTTTTAAATTAAGTCACAAATGTTCACTATACTAAACCATATTTACTTTGTGCAGAGGATACAGATGTGCTTGAGATAAGGGTGAGGGCAGATTATGCAAACTGGATAAACTGCTTCGCTAGAAGCAGAGTGCGGTCCCCACCCTCCTGAGTTGGAGGAAACGTTTTCCTGGCTGGGGCCACAGAAGGGGGGGTTCCAAGTGTTCTAGGTTGGGAGCTAACGCCCCATTGCCCCTGCCCAGGCAGGGAGAGCTCTAGCCCAGGATAGGCAGAGAGGAGAGGGGAAGTCTAAAAATAAAGCTCTCCAAAGAAACTGTCTTGCCTAAAGAGTAGCTTCCCACGCACACTGGAGCGCCACATCTGCGGGGGCTTGGAAGCATGGAAGGGAACAATCCTGACCAAGCCACTTAAGTATTACCCTTTTAGCAGGGGGCCACAGCGCATTGCTGATTCTTCCCATGAGTGCCCCGGTGTCTAAGGCTTAGGGACTGAAAGCAGGAGACTGAAAAGATCACCATGACTAGTCCAGCCTTCCTCCCTTCACAGCAAGAAGTGAGCACAGCACACGTAAAGAAAACATAAGGAGTTGAGCTGAGGGGTTATTTTAGAGAAGAACCATGAAGGGGTTAGCTCCGTCGGCCCCACTCCCAGCAGTAGGGTCAGGGGCGACCAACTAAAGAAAGAAAAATCAAGCACCCCGAGAAGAGCTGCAATTAGCCTTTCTGTCAGTTGGTTATCTTCAGCTCAAACCCCAAGGACAGAGCAGTTGTCAGGTTGCCAGGCAACTAGCATCTGCAACCTCCCCTCCTAACCCCCCAGCCACTAGAAAAAGTTCAGCCTAAGAGTTTTGTTTTTTTTTAAATCCTCTCTCAAGGATAGGGAGGGAAGAAGGAAGGGAGGGAGGGAGGGAGGGAAACATCCATGTGAGAGAAACATTGAGTGGTTGCCTCCCATATGCACCCCAACAGGGGATCAAACTGCAACCAAGGCATGTGTCCTGACCAGGAATCGAACCTGCAACCTTTTTGGTGTACGGGACAATGCTCCAACCAAGTGAGTCACCTGGCCAGGGACAACCCAGGAGTTTGATACAACCCCACAAGTCAGCATTATATACAGAGGGAGGGAGGGCAGGCTCAAGGGTGTAACCCCACCGCCTCTTTCTCTAAGGGTTCTAACCTTGGAGAGCTAGAGCGTACTTGTACCAACTACTGGTGTTTTTCCAAGAAGCCCAGGCAGGAAGAAGGAAACTATAATTCTACCAGGAGGCCATACTGTGCATTTAGCAGTCCAACTCCCCAGGAGGTTTGTACTTTGACCTGACAAAGTATGATAATGTGCCTCAAGGGTCAGAAGCTCAACCTTGGATATCTTGGAAGAATTTTCAGCAGCAACACACACAGAACTACATATCCATTCCCTCCACCCACACTTCCTGGGGAACGTCCACCATCCTGTCCTATGTCCCATGATTCGGACACAGAAGACCACTGAAGTAGGGAGGGAGCAAACACAATTTTTTTAAAAGAAGTGCAACAACCTGTCAATTCTTTGGTCTCTTAAAAGAGACCCTGTGCCAGAACACAGTGGCAGTTGATATGCTCAGATACAAAGCCTGGTGTGTATTACTCATACGTGAAAGAGGGGTACCAAGTTGTCCCCTCAAATCACACATTGCAAGCAATGTACTTTGAACATTGTAGTGCTATTACAATGCTGACTAGCAACAATCACTCAATAGCCTCTTCCAATTAGAGCAAACCGAAATGTAATGTTCCTGTACTGAGTCATTCATGGGCAAAAAGGAAGAAGCCAGCTCCCGACGGGGAGGAGGTACTACTGACCAGAAAGTACACAACCTGAGTACACAGTGCGCAGTACTGTTGTAGGTGCTGGGAGTGCACACTCTCTACCCCATTACATAAACAAGGGCTGGGTTGGCGCAGGGCTCCCCTTGTGCAGCGCAAGGCCTGTGGCTCCGAAGCAGGACTCACCTGACATATAAGGACCTCTTCTCGCTTGTCCGGAGGGACCCAGACCCAGAGCTCATGCTGCTGTTCATCATTTGTTCTCGCAAGTCATGTATCTTCGACTCAAAGCGACTGTACTCTGTCAGAAAGACAAGGGAAAGGGCGGGGAAAGAATGAAGACAAGGAGCTGCGAGGAGCCTGGATGCCACTGGCCCAAGGGCCAGAGGACACTTGGCTTCAAAGCGGCCCCAGGTGATCTTTGCTTGGATAGGCAGAGTCCTTCCTCCAAGCAGAGAGAGGCAGACTTCTCTCCTCCACCACCCCACCCCGGACTAATAAAAGGAAAGAACACACCTGAAAAAGGAGTCACATTTGGACAAACCAAATGGAAAAGGCTTTTATCTGCCTTAAAATCTCACTGATCCTGAAAAAAAAAAAAAGTAACAACTGGAAAGAGGTTCCAGTGCAGCCTTCATAAATCTTTAGAGAAGGCACTAAGGCCCAAGGAGAGCAGATGGGAAAGGAGAATTTCCCAAAAAGTGGATTGCAGAGAACAGATGGCCCTGAGACGCGGGGTGGGGGGAGGCTGGAAAGGACCTGAGGCCATCGTGTTACTGTTAGGCAAGAAAGACGACTTGTTTCTAGATGACTTCTTTGAGCGGGGATCATTGGTTGGAACCGTGGATCAAGGCAAAAACAAGCCAACCTCGCAATCAGATAGGAACGTCACAAAGCTCTCCTGAGTTAGTTTGTTTTACCAAACACGGTCTTTGGCTTCAGTAACAATTAAACACGAAAACATAAATTCTGTCAAACCTAGAAATCTGCTAATACCTCCCTCCTCCCGAATCACCTGACCAGTAGGACCATGATTCCATGCCCAGCTTTGAAGCCCACTGATATCAGCACAAGAGCCTGACCCACCTTATCACTCTGTAAAGTGACTATAGCTTTACGCTAAATACAAGAAATCCAGATGTACGAAAATTAACTCTAGCCATTATAACTTTATTATAAAAGGCTTTTTATAGGGCTGCTTTGCTGTGACATTCTCCTAGTGCGTTTAACATTTAATATTCCCATTTAACACACACACACAATTACACGACATTTTTCACGTCTATAATTGCCGCATCAAATGGACATATCTAAGGCAAAGGCTGTGGGAATGGTAGAAAACAGGCCTACTTTATTATGACCAGCTGATTTTAAAGGAAGCCAAAATTTATTCTAGGGATAGAAGGTTGGGGAGCTGCTTTTAAAAACATATTTCCAGGGAAAAAGAATTCCACAAAAGCATTTTCATGCTCCACGGAGGGCTGGCAAGAAGCATCCCCAAGTCGCCTGTGTGACTCTCCCGGCAGAAAACAAAACACCTGTTCCAACACCTGACACTCCCCTTCCCTCAGCAAAGCAACCTGACCTTCAGCTGGGTATAAAGAGAAATGCTAAAAAGCATAAAGGGGAGGGAACGGGACTCTAACTCACGGAAATAACCTCTTCTCAACAAAGTTTCTTTTGGTTCACTCCCATACCAATGCAGCCAACTGGTTAAATTCATGTGCTTTCATTCATCATGCACTGGTGTTATGGGGATGTGCCCTCATTACCTACTCCCGGCCCTGAAATCCTGCAGAAAGTAGTTAAGTCACTGACACACCCATTAAATGTTGAGGGGGAAAAAGAGACAGCAGCTGGACAATGTCCCTGTTCTGAGGGTTACAGGGCAACACATCAGTATCAATGAGGCATTCCCATCTAAAGGTAGAGGGTGGTGACCCATCTGTCATAGAAGCCCTGGACTGTCCCAAGAGCGCAGTAGCAGGGCTGCCTACCCCTAGAGCTGGCCTGGGCGCTAGCCCCACCCCAGGACTTGGCCCTCTACCCCGGCCTTCTCTAGTGGGCTCCTTTCTGGCCCTCCTTCGCACTCACGGGCTAAAAGAGCCCAGTGAGGCAAAGAGATTTCTGACCAGGCAGCTCTTTCTTGGGGAACATAAGTAAAAGGCAGAAATATGCATTGAACTCAGAGGGAAAAAAAATGCACCCAATCTATCCTTAAGCAGGTTTTCCCCCTCTCGCAACTTGTTTATATATTCCCTTCTTTGGAATTGACTTGCCTGCTGAACTCCAACTTAGCAGCAGGTCATGGCAGTTGCTTAGTAACTACGTTTCTTAAAAAATCCTTTAAAAAAACAACCACCAAACCACCATTTCCTCAAAGCTCCTAATCCAAGGTTGATAATGCTGGGCCAGAGGGCCCACTTAAAATAGACCTCAGAAAGAGAACAAGGATATTGCTTTAAGGAATCCACTTTCTGCTTTCTACGTACTACTAAGCTTTCAAGTGTATTAAATTGTATTTTATTCATTTTTTCCCATTCAGATGATTCCCTGAGAGTTCCAGATGCTCATCGGGTCTCTGGCTTTTATTTGTAGAGTTATCTAACGTCCACTAGGCACGGAGTAGCCTCTGAATAAATGATTGTTGGGCAAATGAGGAGCAAATTACAAAAGTGCGCCCAAGCCGACACTTCTCAAAACTCATAAACCTAATGGTTTATTTAACTGATGGCTGCCAGCTTCACTGAAGGCTTGGAAAGGTAGTTAAGAAGTATTCCCATTTACTTTCTTACCAAGGTTAATTGCTGGGAGCAATTGGGATATGGTTTTCAAACACCCTTTTGAGATGTTAATAACCCACAGTGGGCATCTGATTAACAGACTTTGTTTATAACAAAGGGAAAAAAACTAATTCTAACACAAAAACTGTTTAGAATAGTCTTAAAATGGATAGTTCTTCAGCTTAATATTAGAGGCACTAACTATTATCCAAGAACAGAAGCTTCAGTTAAAACGCATCTGAATTCTGAAGCCTCACAATTTGCCAAGGTCCCTCCTCCCATCCCACTCCTAACTGACCATGATGCAATGAATGGTGCAATGAACGGTGCGCAAGTCACTACCTAGAAAGCCCACCAGACCAGCCTCTAACCCAAAGGGCCCACTTCAAATATGCTACTTCAAAGAAACACTCATTACTAAAATCTCATCTCTACTTACACTGTTTTATTCATTTTTCCCATTCAGATGAACGCAAACACTTGTGACCCACAAAGATGTCCACAGTGAGTCAGTGCAGCCCTTGTTCCCTTTGCTAAACACGGAGAGTAATGAGGGGGAGGGGGCACAATCAGTCATCATTTCCCCCAAAGCAGGGTTTCTCACTGACCCCCGGGGGTGCCTCTGAGAGACCTTGGATTGCACCCCAGACGCTGACTCACGGCCTACTGAGCAGGCTCAGGAATCTGCATTTTTAGCAAATGTCAAGGTGGTTGTGGTTTGTTTGTTTTTTCATTGTATTAAATATGGTGATTCTGATGTCCAATAGGGTTTGAAACTGCTGGTCTTGGCTTAGAAAATTGAGTTCTGTTTTGTTCAGGGAAAAGATAAGGTAAGCATCATGTGCGGCGTGTAACAAAAGGAGGGTACCCTACCCTCTCCAAAAAAAAAAAAAAAAAGATAATACAAAAAGGGAAAAAAACAAAAAAAGTTTAAATACAAAAAAAATTGACAATACAATTGCAAATCCCACAGGACAGTGCTAGAGGACGCTGTCCAATGTGCCTGCAAAGAAAGCTGATGAATTTAGAGATTTTTAAATTATAAAAGTAGCACATGATTTTTATAAATCCGTAACTTTTTTCTTCAGACACTCCTGTATCAGTCATGTCCCCATCCCACTACCCACGAGTAATCAGTTAGTATTTTTAGTACGTGTCTTTCCAGACTTAGTTCCACGTACAGTTGACCCTTGAACACCACAGATTTGAACACTGCGCAGGTCAACTTATACACGGCTTTTTTCAATAAATACTGTAAATGTTTTCTCTTCCTTATGATTTCTTAATAACCTCTCTAATTTACTTTATTGTAAGAACAGTATATAATACATACAACATACAAAATATGTGCCCATCAGTAAGGCTTCCAGTCAACAGCAGGTTATTATTAGTTAAGTTTGACGAGAGTCAAGTTATACGTGGATTTTTGACAGCCCAGGGTCAAGCATCCCTAACCCCTGCATTGTCCAAGGGTCGATCATATATAGTGTTTATATACATACACTCACAACTCACACAGCCACACACATCTCCTCTTTTCTATTCTCTGGTATGTCATGGAAACCCATCCATGTCAGTACATAATCTATCTCATTCTTTTTAATAGCTGCATGGAATTCCATATTATGGACAGACCATAATTTATTCAGTCATATCCCAACTGATGTACATTTAAATTGTTTACAATTTTTCAATATTACCATCAATGCGGCACTGTTTATTTCTGAGTATTACCATAGCATGGATTCCTAGAAGTGAAACTGCAGGGTGAAATTACATTACCATGAAAAAAAATTGACTGGCAGTACCACACTGAACCCCAATGTTCTGAACCTTTATGATTCGAAGTGGGGATAAAGTGCTCTTTTAAAGTTTCCAGTAGCTTTTCTGTTTCTCAAGAAGTGGAGGCGGAATTTGCCTTTGAGGACAGATTGATCTTTTGTTTGGGGGGAAAACACTTTAATGAGCCTTTGGTTGTGCCAAAGGAAAATCAAGATTGTGCTCTGGAATAGACAAAGACAAAGAGGAGCCTCAAATGTTCTCTCCGCATAGTCACAGAAAAGGTGGTTCTCCTGTGGGCAGAGTTGCAGGTTCTCGGGTCTTGTCCTAACACCTATGTGACACTCCATCTTCCTCTAGGAATAGCTACCTCTACACTTGACCCCTCTGCATCCCCCTACTTGATAACTTCAGGCCAAACCTCCCTGTTATTGTAAATGACACCTCCCTTCCCGCCCCCTACCTTTCCCCAGGGCACAACCAGTATTTCTTCCTAATTAAGCGCATCGATTTCTAACTCATCTCCTTGCCTCACTGTTGATCTCACATCTTTGTTTTCTTTCTTGCCCTGGTGTAGATCACACGGTGTCATCTCTGCTTGGGACCACTGCTGCAATTGCCCAAACTGGTCACCTGCCCCCCAGCTGTCCAAACTCCAGTACGGCTTAGATTCTTTTCTTGTTAAAGATTTTATTTATTTATTTTTAGAGAGAGGGGAAGGGAAGGAGAAAGAGAGGCA